TTTAGGGTTTAGGGTTTTGGTGTTCTCTTCCACTGCTTCTCCGCAGCCGATGGGTTGTTGGGGTTTAGGGATGAGGGCCATGCGCCTGAGGGTCTGACAACACACAACTTTTGCGGTTTATATACTAGGTGAGGTCCCGAATTATCCAGAATAGGGCTGAGACATACTTCTACGATGATAGCCTGTATGCCTGTATTATGGAACCCGGAGGGAACGCCTCAAGGTTCTTCTTAAAATGGCTGCTTACTACCAATGGCATTCGTTGAGAAAGGAATGGTATTGGTAATTCTTCAGGCCATGGCAGTACCTATAATCTCCGTTGCAGTTCCTTTTTGGGGGCCAGAAGGCAACCGCCGAAAAGGAACTACACTGGAAACTCGGGGTACTCTGTGAGGAACCTGTCCAACCCAATGGCTGCAAGGTAGAAACACCTTATAAAACCCGGCTAACCCCTTAACACTAAACCTTCAACTGAAAACCCTAAATCCCAAAACCCCAAAACTCTCTGAACCACTGGAAAAGCCGTAAACCCCTAAACCTAAAACCGAAAACCCTAAAACCCCCCAAACCCTAAAACTCTCCGAACCCCTGGGGCATCAGCCTCAGGACAGATCCGACCGCCCGAAGGCAGCGCAGGTTGCCTATGTCAGGCTTAGGGCGTCTGAGTCTAAGGATCTCTTATAAAGGATCTCTTTTCAGACAGGGTTTCTAGGAAATTCAGGGTTTTCCATTCCTTTTTACGGTATCATTGCTTTGAGGGCTTGAGGGCTCAAACCCCAATCTTACCAGGACATGTATTTACATGGCTTCATGGGCTTCTTGTGGGATTATAGATTCTATATTATATATATATAAGTACAAGTGGATTCATAAGGACTTCTTGGGTTCTTGTGGTTCCTTACAAGAGAACTTAAGGAACATTTCCTGGGTTTAGGGGATCATGCCAGTTTCTGCTGTAGTGCGGCTCCCTCTGTGGCTGCCTTTTTGGAGCTTACTGATGTTTAGGTCCCCCTTAAAAACCGAAAACCCTGAAGCCTAAACCCTCAAACCCTAAACCCTAAAGTGTTATGGTTATGGTCTTACTGATGTTTAGGTCCCCCTTAAACCCTAAACCCCAAAGTGTTCTGGTTATGGTGCAGAAACTCTTGCGACCCTAGGACCGGGTGCCCGAAGGATTCAAAACACCGTGCTCCAGTGTGCTGTATTAGCCTGAGGCCCGCGAGGGCCCCCATACCCTGAATCTGCATGCATATACACACGTACACATACACATACACATATACATATACATACATATACACATACACATACACATATACATATTCATGTACATGTACATGTACATGTACATATACAGATACAGATACATGTACATATACACATACATATACATGTACATGTATACGTATATGTATACATATACTGTATATACATAGGCGTATATGCACATGCATATACGTGTGTACATATCAATATATGTATGTATATATATATATAATATATATACACACACACATACACATGTATTAGTTAGATTCGCACTGCTTGTCAAGCTTCCTTATAACACCATCGACCCCAGAACCCAGGCCTAAATCCTAAACCCTAAAAACCCTAAACCCTAACCCTAAAACCCTTAAACCTTAAACCCTA